GTATATAGGATCACTAACCCTTGTACATAGTGGACATTAGATGAAGTAGGGTGTGTAATCCCGTACTTAGTACGTCTCCAGTACCCGTTCCTTCTCCAAGCATGGAAGCCCTGGCCTGAGCCCGAGCCAGGCCCGAGCCAGGCCAAAGCCAGACGCTAGGGCCCTGGCTTGACTTGGTGACAGGCCCGAGCCAGCTCAAGCCAGGCCAAAGCCCGGGGCTCCGAGCCAAGCCAGGCCCTGCACATCACTAATCCAGTATCAGCCACTGAAGGTTGTTTTATAGAGCCTGCTGCAGCTGTAGTTAATGTCTGGTGCTCAATTTATCTACCTCACAAGCATTAACAATACACCATTGATGGATTGACAGTGTTTCTGGAGCTTAGCAATAGATCCGAAACCCCTCCCGCCATGCATCTTGGCCGTTGTGCATTGCCCGGAGGACTGTGGGATAATTTCGGGAGACTCCGAGATCCATTTTAGACACCCAATAAACTCTATACCATACCTGCAAACTATCTTGCGGATTTTAGTACTGGATTATTCGGGTAATCACAAAAGAGCGCGCAGGGAATAAAAGAGCGCGGGTCAGGAAAGCGCGGAGCTGCGGGAAAAGCGCGCTGAGTCGAAAAGCGCGCCGAATAATTATTGTGCAAACGGAACGTCATAGAGCACGGGACTCCGCCCGGGGCGCACGTAAGCCCGGCGTCCTTGCAGAAGCCCGCGCGTCCGAGGCGTGTGCAGCGCCCATCTGGACCGTTGGGCCGCGCCTGTCAGCTATGCTCGCGTTCCCCCGGCGAGCGTCCTGTGCCCCACCGCGCCCTCGGGCTGCAGACGGACTCCCCGCGCCACACGACGCCGGAGTGCGGGCTCGAATTCCTGCCAGCCATCCCGTGGTGGGACTCGAAGAGGAGAGGCAGAGTTCGGATTCCATCTCGTCTGGTGTCACATTGACTCCGGAGGGAAGCGTCGTCGACATGTGGCAGCGACGTCGCTGACGGCATCGCATCGCAGTGTTCTGCGCAGAGTGTTCTGCGACGAGTGCGGTTATAGTATAGACCAGCATCCGCCTCGAGGCCATCACATGTTTTCCCTGGTATATCTATATCGACAACAGCTGCCGGCAGTGAGAACGAACAGAAAACACAGCATACCATCATACAAGAAACGGATCAATAATACATATTTGCTATCACGCTATAAACTGATTAAATAGACGGAAAGAGAGCAGTGCAGTAACAGACAGCGAGGAGCGGCAGGCAATCGAGTTAGATACGCGGGCTGAAGCAAATAATCCCGGCACGCCGCGACAGGCAAGAAGAACGCTCTACGCGAGAAAACAGAGCGCGGCTGAGCAGAGAGCAAAAGGTCCTGGTGAAAGAGACGACAAGCGCCAAGACCGTCTGGCGGACGACGAGAACTGCACGCGGGCGAACACGGTCAACAGAGCGATTTCGCGGGCAAAGACGGACGTTGGACGCTTGCGCACAAGCACGGGGGCGGGGCGGGGCGGGAGCGCGGCGCATCACGCCGGTCGATCATGCGCCTGCTCGGAGAACGCGTTTTTGGCGTGGCTCGGGCTCTCGGAGCGCGACGACGGCGGCGTGGGCGACACGGGGCGCAGGCGCGCGGGCGGCGCCTCGCCCTTCTGCTGCGGCGGCGGCGCGCGCCACTCCGCGCGCGCGAAGAGCGGCGCGATCGACGGGTGCGAGTAGCTGTGCGGCGGGGGCTGCTGCCCCTGCGGCGCCATCGGCGGGAGCTGCTGCTGCTGCGGCGGCGTGCGCGCGCGCTGCGCGGACGTGATGTGCCCGCGCTTGTGCGGGAACTGGTCGGGCCGCGGGCGCGAGTGCGTGCGCTCGAAGAGCCCGCACTTGTTGCACAGCTGTGGGCGGCGGCGGCGGGCGGGGGGGGGGGCAAGCGGTCAGCGGGGCAGAGATCGCGGACGGAGGGAGAGCGTACTGACCACTTTGCCGGGGTTGAGCGTGGACCGGCGCCAGGTGGAGGTGTCGGTGGTGCAGCAGTTGAAGCAGCGGCGGCGGACGCGGTCGCTCAGCTTGGTGGCGGCGTCGTCGGTGAGGATGATGCCGTAGTCGCTCTGGCTGGGCAGCTGGTGCGCGGGCGCGTAGCCGTTGCGCATGGTGCCCGGCGCGATGTGGGACACGCCGGGGAGCGCGCCGCCGCCGTAGCCCTGCGGGACCTGGTGCATGGGCTCGTGCCGGTACGAGTGCTCGTACCTACTTTGCGAGGAGTAGGTGTAGTTTTGGGGGGCGGGGCCGCGTTGTCCATGGGCGGGGGGTGGGCGGAGGCGTAGTACGGCTTCGGGGACTGCTTGATGCTGTGCGAGTAGTACGGGGCGCCGTACGTCGACTGGGAGTGGTGGTGGCCGTTGGGCGCGGGGGAGGACACAGCTGAGCGGTCGAGCGAGGAGGTCGAGAGCGAGGGCGAGTTGGTCAGCGTTGCGATCGGCGGCGGGGACGGGTGGCTGAGGTCGTGGGATTTGGAGTACGGGTCGTAGCGCCTGGGAGTAAGTTATAGAGTCGACGACGGCGAGGTCTGCGAGGGGAACAGACCTTTGGGGCATGACCATGGACTCTCCTCTGTGGGACATGGCGTGGTGGATGGAGTGGTAGGGAGGCGGGGGCGGATGAGTATAGATATACGGAGGATCTCTGGGTGATGAGATCTGTTGTTCCTTATCAGGCACTCGCCTCTCAGAAGACTGCGGCGGCGGGGACATCAGATCGCCATGATGAGAGATGATAATGAAGAGACGGACCCAGTGCGAGTGGCCTGTGTCGTGATCAGACGAGGCGGCGGATTGCGAGCGCGAGTCTGGTTGATCCCAGTGCTGCTGGTGGCTGGGCTGGCGCTGCTGCTGCCCGTCGGCGGGGAGGGTTGGCTGGCTGTCAGCGGAGGCGGGCGCGTGTGGCGGGGTGGGCGGGTGGGAGTCTGGAGTGTCTGTCCTGGAGGAGGAGCAAGGGAGGGTAAGTGGGCGAAGAGCGCGGTTTATAAACGAAAGCGTACATGGCTTGTAGCGCTCAGACAGCTGTGCGCGGGCGGAAAGATGATGGTGATGGGAAGGCTGTTGTTGTTAGGAGCAAACAAGTTGGGCAAACAAGAAGAGATTCGGCGTCTGCGGTCGATGGAACGATCAGAAGAATTCCAGCGCCAGGCCGGTTGCCAGTCCCGTCGTTTCCATATTGGTCTTTCATTATTTTCAAGCTCCGCGGCTGATTCCGGATCACCCCAGTCGTCCACTCAGGTCTTCGACCCCCGGGCATGCCGTACAGTAACTTTGATGACCGTGAAATTGGATCTTCACGGAGTCTGTGACCCCCACCTTATCACGGCGACCCTGTGCGTGCTAGTCCTCTGATCGAGATATTCAGCGTCATCAATCAACTTTGTACTCGACTCCTCTTCATAACGCGCCGGAGTCTCTAGAAAGCCGGCTCTGGCTATATTTGCAGGCCAGGGTCTGTACGCCTTCTTGATTCACTTCCTATCTGATTGATACATATCACCGCCATGTTTGTGCCACAGCTCGAGTGTTCGCAACTCGCATCGCTGATAATGGAACCAGCCACAATCCTCGAGCAGACAGGAATGTCAATGCGGCCGATAGTCAGTAGACCGCGTCCTGTTTGTATTCGCCGCACGGACGCTCGCAATCCAATCTCCAGGGACGCTTCGCAGCAGGGCGGTCAGGCTGGCGGGGCCCTCAATGTCACCAGGCGGTCCTATCCAGCCTGCGATCGCTAAACATAGGATCGGCCTCGTCTGCGCGCGTCCTATTCGGCTCAAGCATGGAAGCGGAACCTTACCGCCGCCCGGGGCGTCCCCATCCGGCCACCCAACTCCTCCTTGCGTCCATCACCTTCCCTTGTTCAGCTCTCACTCATCAATCAGCCTCGCCCAAGACGACGCGCGAAAATACGGTGCGCTGGGCCGGATGGCGCGTAGACGCTAGACCCTCGCGGCGGTGCCGGCGCTGGGTAAGCAGGGCCCAGCGCTCTGCGCTGTGTTCCTCATCGTCCAGCAAGCCAGGGTGACTAGTCGCCAGCCGACACACGGCGCCACCTCGGTGGCGCCAACCTCTTCATCGCACAAGTACCGCAACTATCCGCGCGCAAACTTCAATCTTACGCGTCTGACCCGCCCTGCGCCTGCGATTGCTCGGGATCACCTGTTGGCCTGTTTGTGTGCGCGATAGGACGGACGCCACCAACAGATCCACGTGCGCTGTTCTATCTGTTCTGCCTGCCCCCGCGATCGTTCGTACAACAGGAAACGTCCGCAACTTGCAGAACCCAGCAACTGAACATCTCGCCTGATGGTCCCTGCACACCCGCCGCAGCAGAGGTTGGGGTCCAGCAGCCCTTCGAGCCTCGAGCCTCGAGCCTCGAGCCTCGAATGCGAACGCAAGGATCAGCAAGGCCGAATCGCACCGGCGGAAGGCGGTACTGCTGAGCACAGCGCGCGAAGATCCCCGGCCGGGCGCACCCGCCGCAAATTAAACTCAAACCCAAAATTCCACCGCCGTCCATTCTTGCCCTCGTCCTTCTTCCAGAATACATAGCACCGCAGGCGCCTTCCGGGCCAAGTATGAGCAATATGCCCCGGAAACGGCTCTGCGTGGTGACATGATGGCGGCGGCCACTTGCGTGGAATGTAAGTACGTCCATTCCGCGGGCGCTCGCGGTTCAGGACCGGCGCGGTCGGTGCCACTGCCAGTGCGATCATGCTGCATGCATGGGTGTTCGTTCGGTGTATGTGCCCGACCCTCGGAGCGCTGGCGTTTCCTCATGCCTGACGGCGCTATCACCAGGCTGCTGGATAATCACCCTCAGGCCCGGGGCTGTCTCGCGCGCTCACTCTCCGCAGGACGAAGAAGAACGGGCAAGTCGGGATCATTGTCGTCGCCGTGCTCTGATCACGCGAGCCCCCCCTGATGCTCCTCGACTTGATTGCGGTCGTGCTCGGTGCGTCTCAATCGTACCGTGATGTGATATGGACATGTCTCACAATGTGCGTGGCAGGCCCCTCCGCGGACGTGATCATCATCAGGGCCCAAGAGTGTCAGCGTGGACGTGTCCGCCTATCATGCACTAGAGTGTACCACTTGCTGGCGGTGGGCACGCCTGAAGTCTCCCACAGAATTCGCGGACGACACTGACCACTGGTTTCCAAATTCATACCACCACTCGCAGTCCGTCCGCGCGGTTCTCGAGTCCACAGAAAGATTCTCGCCAGCCCAGCTGCATTCCCGGCGCGCCAGCGTTCATCTGATCATCACGATGAGAGTGGGACAGCTCGCTTTGCGCAGAAAGCGGTCGACACCTTGTTCCTTGTCTGGCACTGTTTACCCGTCGTTCGGTCTCGGAGTCGGAGCAGCGCAAAATTCGACCCGCGCGCTGGAGGGCTGCGCCGTCGACCTGCCGCGGCGCTGCGCCTCACCCCCACTAGATTGGCGGCGTCTGACCACGGCGAGAACCAAGACCAAGTAAGCGACTGCTGTGCCCCGCCAAGCTGCCCTCTTTCGCCGCGCCGGAAGACTGGCAAGACGTATCGTGCGACGGACCACCTGCGTACCCGAGCACAAATCGACGGGGGACATACTGCTCTTGCCGCCTGCACCGCACTGCTATCTACTAGCAGGAGTGGCTGATTGCGCTCTGGCCTCCGACGGACCGCGAGCTCAAGTCGAAATTCTATCTACCCCGAGTCTCCCGACGGGCCACGCCTCCCTGCCGTAAACCAGCCACCAATTTTACTCCTCCCAAGTTCTGTCTCGGCGGAAGCAGAGGTACGTTCCCCGCCGCCCTAACTCCACAGCGTACTCACGGCTGCAGGCAGTATAGCCACGGTTCCCCGAAAGGCACTGCGGGAGAGCGCAAAACCGAGGCGGCCCGTAAAGTCCGTCCGACCGCTGCTGAATGGCACAAAAGACGGGATGCAGCGGGTCCCGAATTTACGATGGCCACGTATGCCCCCGCCTTGCCAGCGTCGCAAACGTCGTCGCATCGTTTCAATGGAGTCATACCCATAGCCATCCCCATCCCCATCCCCATCCCCATACCGACATCGGGACGCAGGCGCAGGCCCGTGCTCGCGCTCTGGCCTCGCCGTCTGGATGCCCCAGCCGTCACGCGCACACGCGCCACTCCGCGTCCGCGGAAAATATCCGATTCCGGTGTGCAAAAAAACACCCCCCGCTCGTACGCGCGCCAGGTACGTACCCGTGCCTACCTGATGCGCACGCAGGACAGAGGGGCGAGGCATGCCGTCGCCGCGCGCCTCGAGGTCAGCACGCGCGGGCGCGCTCATACCCAGGCGACACGGAACGATGAGCAAGGACGAGATCTCGGCTCATACTTGCTCCTCCCAAGACCGTTACAGACCTCCCCCGGCGTAAGGCCAGAGCACCCCGGTCCCTGCATCGCGCGCAGGGCGGTCACCCCCCCCGTGGGCCCGTCCGAACTCTGCAGAAAACTGCAGGATCAGCGTTCCGTGGTGCGGTCATATTATCTTACGACAGCCCGAGGATTTTCTTGCGTGAGAAGGAGAGCGAGGATAAACGGTGCCTGGCAACGTTCAAGTCGTCCCTCTGTCCGCGATCACCTGGACCGATAAAGGACTCGACAGACTCCGCTCAGAGCGGAGCAGCGCACCTGTGGCATGCGCTTCTTTGTTCTGAACAACAATCGAGCGTCCGGGGGGGGGGGGTTAGGACGCGTCCTTCGCATTGGGCCGTGGTAGTCGCCGCAAGATCGGACGTCTACGTCTACTTTTGCGCCGCGCTCGTAGACGTAGACAACGGTCCTCAAAGAAAAAGCCGGCGTGCCATAAGAGATCGCGGCGCTGGAGTCGGGTACTACTCTAGTGGCCCCTGGCCCTGCTGGACGTGGGGCGGGGAGCACCAGATAGATGTCAATGCCGGGCTCTGCGATCTGCACTCGGAGTCTTCCGCCAGCGCGAGGCAAAGGGAAGATCGGCGTCTATCTGACTGCGAGTGGCTATGTGGTTATCCTTTGTCTGCGAGCTTCCGCGAGTTCTTTGTCGCCCCCACCCCCCACCTCCTCCGCTTATAGTCGTGTGATACCAGAAGCGTAAAACAATGGTCAAGGTGCCATTCATGAACGAGCGAGGAACCTTGGGACGCTCGTCTTCACAGTCGTCAAACGCAACAAAGAAAGCGCTGGACAAAGACTGACCCGCCTTTGTGGCATGCCACCCGGTGAGGATATAAGCAGGACACTCGGGCTGTCGGGTGTCGCAACCCGCACTCGCTCCCAGGATCGCATTCATCCTCGATGGGCGACAGAGACTACCCAGAGCCCGCGCCCACGCAGCCGGTCCCCGCGGATCGCCACGCCGCCTACCAGGGCTCGTTCTCCGGCTCGACGGACGTCGCGGACCTGATCAAGTACACGCTGCACGCGCAGGATCCCGCGGACACATTTCGCGAGCTCTACCGAAAGATCGACGGGATGGTCGACGAGACGCAGCGCGGCCTGCTCGCGGCGCTCGAGCGCGCGGGGCTCGTGCAGGAGAGGTACCGCGCGGCGGCGGCGAACACGGTGCTGCGGCGCTGCGCGCGGTGCCAGAATTTTTATTACGAGAAGGACAACGGGAAGACGGCGTGCCAGATGAAGCATGCGCCGTACACGGTGCATACGCTGAGGGACGGGCGTCAGCTTTTTGAGTATCGGTGCTGTGGGCGGTGGAAGGAGGAGCCGATACCGACGGATAAGAAGTGTCCCCATGGCAGACATACGACGCAGCCACAGGCCGGAGGGGCGCAGGGCTCGAGGGCAGTAGCGAAGGCTGAGCGGCGGGGTTAGGGGGAATCTGGGAGTGTATTTTGTAGGCGGGGTCTGGCCGCGGAATGAGTATTGCTGGAAAGCCGGGTGCTGTATTGCGTTTGTTCTCGTTATCGAGTGTATATGACACAGAAGACCGGCGACGTCGGAATCAGCGGTGCTTACTGCGGCGTATACGCCCTTATGTTTTTCTCTTTCTAACGTACATACGACATTCTATCTCAGGGGCTGCATCCACAGACTCGCGGGCGGATGCATCACTTTGTGCAGCAGCAGCAATGATGAGATCAGATCAGATCTAGCAGATAAGATCTGCACACCGACAGTGATGCTCTCTTCCCGCTTTCTTCTGCTTTCCCCCGAACATCATCAACCCAAGATGCACCGCACCGCCTGGTCCAAACACAACTCGTCCGTCCCCTCCGACCGCATCCGCCCCAGCCACCCGCCCTCCCCGTCCAAGCAGCAGTCCGCCAGGTCCAGGGACAGGTCCGCGAACAGCGATGCCGCGCCGAAGAGCAGGGACGTGCGCCGGCTCGAGGCGCTCGTCGGCGGGCTGAGGAACACCACGGACGGCGCGCGGGACCCCAAGGGCGGGTGCTTCTGCAAAGGTCCGCGGCATGGCTGGTTGCACGACCGTCTAACTCTGAGCTATTCCTCCACCAGCGCGCATCCACGACCTCTCGCCGTACACGCCCATCTGCAAGTCCTGCGGGCTCGTCCTCTGCGCCGTCAACCTCCCGTTCTACGCCTGCCCCTCCTGCGCCGCCCCGCTCATGGCCCCCTCCGCGCGCGAAGCCCTCGCCCTCCAGCTGAGCGACCAGATCGACGCGACCCTCGCGCGCGAAGAAGCCGCGCGCCTCCAAGCGCTCGAGGACGCGCGCAAAGCAGCCGGCGCCTTCCCCTCCCTCTCCGCCTCCGCCTCCTCCACCTCCCTCCCTGATTCAAACCTCCGCGCGGCGAACCAGACGCACAAGGTCCTCTCGCTCACGGGCACGGCCAAGCACAAAAAGGTCGTCGTGTCCTCCTACTCCGCCAGCCCCGCCCCCTCGCCCTCGCACACCCCCAAGGTCCAGGAAGAGGACGAGCCGGAGCCAGAGCGCATACCGCCGCCTCCGCGCGAGGTCGAGTACGCGCGGCGCCAGCCCGACCCCGTGCGGCCGTGGATGAACGTCCGCCCCGGCGCGCCCTCGTACACGTACGTCCCCAGCAAGCCTGCCAAAGACAAGGGCAAGGCGCGCCCGTCCAAAGGAAAGGGCCATGGGGCGCAAAAGTAGGATAGGATCGAATAGAGCACAACGATATCGCATTGGACATCACCACAGATGGTGTGCCGAATCAGTACAAACAACCTCTCGTGCGCGTACGCCCCGTACGCTAGTGCTGCCGCAGCGCCAGGGTGACTGCAGAGTGGCGCTAGCGCTGGGCGCCCAGCGTGGTCACTTTGGTCACTGCAGAGCCACGCTGCAGTACGGCTGCCCTACTCTGCAGTCGCGCTGGGCGAGGGCGCTTGTCCGCGGAATCCAGCAAGGAGCTCCTCCCATTGGTGTCTTTTCGCACGGCGTGTTCCCGCCACCTGTCCATCCCAGCATGACGTCGGAAAGTGGCGTGAAGTTCGTCACGTGCTCTACGCTTGCGTGGCAACGGCTTTGTGCGAGTCCTCCACTGCCAGCCAGCGCCACGCTGCAGTACGCTGCAGTCGCGCTGCAGTGACCCAGCGTGGCGACAACTCGCGCTGAGGTGACGCTGGCGCTACAGTACAGTGCTTTGCATAAGAAACTGAACATCGCATTTCCGCGCGCGTCGTTTGTCCGCGCCAAATATACCCTTTTTGGGTAGGTCCGGAAGGCCTCTCGCGGGACCGTTTGTTGGGCAGGGAGTCGCAGACGCCCCGAGACGGCTCGAAAGGCTTCAGAGAATGCATGAAATGTATATTCTACAACTACACTAAGGGCTGTAAATCATTATACTCTGCCCCCACCTGTATGCCTAGCTACCCTCCCTCTCGGTGGGTCTTTGCCGCACATTTGCCGATACCCGAAAAGGGTATATTTGGCGCGGACAAACAACGCGCGCGGAAATGCGATGTTCAGTTTCTTATGCAAGGCACTGTACCGAGAAGAACGTTTCTAAATTTTCCAGAAAAAAATGAGGAAAATCAGTTATGCAACTTGAAAGGGCTCAGCCGGGAATTGAACCCGGGACCACCCGCAATTTCTGGATATCATCCAGGAGCTCTCGCAAGCCCGAAGCGGGTATCATACTACTAGACCACTAAGCCGTTGTCACGATGTCTTCCTGGAGGCCTATAACCTACTCTTCCCCAATATAGAACACTTGGGTTTTTGGGTCATGTCCGAGAACTCGGAGAGATGCAGATACAGACACATATTGATACAGGCAATCGGTAGAGTAGAATGTTCACAAATCTATCAACAACCCATCATCACCTCCCCCTCCCTCTGGTCCATCCCCGAACACCCACCGCCTTACCTCCCTCACCTCCGCCCTCAGCCCCTCCAACAACGTCTCCTTCGCGTCGATATCCCGCCGCGCCTCCTCGAGCGCCGCCTCAATGCGCGCGACCGTCGCTTCGAGCGTATCAGGCCGGGGGCGCTCGGATGGAGGGTGAGGAGAAGGGGGAGGGGGGGATCCCTCGTATCCCACGTAGCCTTCTAGACCGTTATTGCGTGGCGGTGGAGGAGACCGCGGAGCCGGATCGGGGGCGTGTACTTGTATCGCCTGGTCGCCGTCGAAGAGCACGCTGGGCATGACGGGCGTCGCGAGCTCCATCGAGCGCTCGCCCTCGCTCCCGCCGTCGTGGTCTTGCACACCATCGTGATTTGACTGTGATAACGATGTTAGTTCCGTGAGGGTGCACTGCTCGAGTGAGTGCGTAATCTGACTTACTAGTACGGGCGGCACGGAAGGCGGACGTTCCCTGGGTCGGTGCAGTGCGGGAGCTGAGGACGAGTGGCGGAAGCCATGGGAGCGGCGGAGAACGTACCTATCATTACCCTCTCGGGCGTGTTCGTCGGGGCGATCTGTCTAGCGATACATGCACGGTCAGGTTAGGCCCCAGGGCTGTGCGTGATGGACGTACCGGAGGCACCGGCGGTCCATGTTCTGGAGAGGCGATTCGTCCCATCCCGCCATGAGCCGGGTCGTTGACAGCTCTGCCGAAGGGACGGGAGCAATGTTAATAGTTCCAACGCAGGAGAAGCCGGGTGGGACGTACGGGGGTTCATTGGGAGTATCGGGGTGCTTAGTGCCACTGACAAGCCGCGCGAGCGCGTCGCGCTCTTCGCCGAACGCCTGCACCTGCCTCCCGAGCGCCGCGACCTGCTCGTGCAGCGCGTGCAGCCAGTGGGGTACCATATCAGCCTCGGAGTCCGAGGACGGACGTGCGTATGCAAAGGCGTTGGCTAGCGATAGAACGAAAGGTCAGGGATTCGGAACAGTCAGATAAGTAGCGTCATGTGTGGCAAAGGGGGATGTTGTGGGATCCGAGCGAAGAGGAAACGTACCTCGTCGCTCATCTGGTACGCGGATCGTCTCGTCCTCTGAAGATAGCGCCGCAAGGCCGTTACTCTCCCGCGCTGCACAGGGACGGCGCGCAGACGCCCGGGGAGTATTCAAAGAAGTGAGGTGTTCCGGTTGCGCCGGAGACGAATGTCCTGGAAGCTTGGTCGGGGTTTCCCCTCCGTCTGAGGAGCAGGATGCGCGCGCGTTCTCCAGCTGTGTGATCACGTTAATCCGATGCAAGGGGAACAGGCACGATGAGGACAAGAACGCACTCGCGCTGCAATCTCCTTCACCTCCAGTTCCAGCGCCCGGTTCCGCCTCGCGGTCATCTCCAGGACACTAATGATGTCCTCCTCGCTCAGACTAGTGTCCTTAGCAGACAGGGGCACAAGCTTGGGCTCGTGCTCGGCGGCCTGGAGCTTGCTCATATGTTCCGGATGGAAAATGCATGCCTCCAGCTCGGCGTCCCTCCGCGCCACCTGCGCCTCCAGCAGCGCGACGCGGTGCTCGGCGTCCCTGCGCGTGATTGCGTGCGCCTTCCTCTCCAAGTCTCTCTCCACCCTCAGAGACGCGATTAGTGCGGAGGCATAGGCGTGCAGATCCTCGTCGGATGGCAGGTCCTCTCGTGTTCGTATGCTCGCGGATGCGTTCTTACCTTCGATAAGATGTGCGTCTGCAATGGGAGAGACGGGAGGGAGTCGGACCGGGGCAAGAGATGCAGATGAGCGAGGGAGGGGACCGACCGGCGGGTCTTGCCAAGCGGATGCGGCTGTGCGGCCACAGACTGTAATCATTGGATTTTTCAACTACAGACATAATAGGACGACAAGTATACGTAAGCAAAAGGTGGTAGAAATCTACCCTCCTGTCATATCATACGAGATAGACACGGAACCCAACCCACCTTTCTCGACCAGCTGCATGACAGCGTCCCTCATATCGTCCCGCTCCGACTCCGCAGCCTCTACGCGTGCGATGTACCGAGAGAGGTTAGTGCGGAGCTGATGGATTTCCTGTTGGCTCTCGTCGAGCTCTAGCCGATGTTTTGCTTCGAGTTCGTCGAGGGCATCGAGTGTGGACAAGAAGCGGCCCTGCATGTGAGACGCCCGTGCCGCGAACGCTTGTACCTCCAGCTCCAGGCGCGCAATCTGACATATCGACATGATCTCTGCCTGAGCTGAATCACGGGGAGGGCTAAGATGACGACGTACCTTCGCATCCTTCTCCTCCAGTAACGGCAAGACCTCCTCCAGCCGATACTTCTTCCCGCCCATAGACAACAACCCAAGAATACAGCCAAGAAATATGGAGACGATAAGTTAAGCCAGAACCAGGGTCCGGATAGAATGTACTTATAGGCGGGGATGTGCTAGTGTGTCATACAGTCGTGTAGAGTTCGAGCTGTGGCACGGACGGTTTCACTTGTCGGATTCGGAAGCGTCGGGCGTGTTATTTGGTCTTGTGTGGTGCATAATGTGGCAACTTGGACACCCTCGGCGCATTGGAAACCACGCCCTCAGAACGTATTCTGAGCCTATTGAGGACACCAGACACACGGGTGACAATCTCTACCGCTATCGGGGGCTTTAAGCACCTATTACCCACCCTCGAGGTCTTGATTATGTCCCACATCTACCCATGTGTCTACGTCTACTCGTGTATGACGGATCATCATTTTACGGTGTTCCGAGGATAGCCAGTGGTCTTTCTCCTGCAGATATTCTGTCTGAATCACGAAGGTGCACAATATCACACCTAAAAGGGACTCCATCCACGACTGAGAAGGGCAGCGGCGATCATATAAATCATCCAGATCTCAATCTCATGATGGTGGGACGGCCTAGTAGTCTAAAGAGACAGACGGGAGAGCTGTAACCACATTAGAAAATACTACAGTCTTGCATTTAGATATACAATCCTATGTTACAATATACAGTTTTGCAACCATGGCTCTGAATACTAGTGCTATTACATGATTTCCTCTCTGTCAGCGAAAGCACTCGCTTCTTCCGTCTCCTTTCTGAGATCATCAATGACGAACGGATGCGATGTGATGCATCATAACAATGTCGACGTCACCCGCTTCAGTAGGTGTCCTCATCAAAAGAGACATCCAAATCAGAGTCAAAATTCCCAGCCAAGCTACCTTCGGCCTCATCAGAGCCGTGCGCATAGGGCTTGTCCAGCATTGCGGTTGTCAGAAGGGAAGCCTCGGGCGGGCCCGAGTCCTGTCTCTCGCGGACTTCCGTGCGCAGCTGGAAACGCTCCTGGATTTGATCGACCCACTGTACGTTGCAAAGTATCAACTGAGAAATAACGTGTGGTCTGAATGGCGACTTACAGTCTGTGTTACGTCGATATAGTGGGCGGCGAATGCATTCCCATTAGTGCCGGTCAAGGCTATCATCTGCTGAAAATGATCAGATGAGCACGACGAGGAAACCGGTAAAAACTGAAACACACCAAGTGGAGAATTTCCCATCGTAGCATTACCACGGTATGATAATTTATCTGTTCTCCTGGGTTCTTGGTGGACCTGGAGTGTTCGACTTGATGGAAGAAGAACTGGAAAAGACGATCTGGTGATACGTTGGTAACCACCGAAGACGCTGGAGCGCAAACGGTACATGCCTTCTAGTCCTTCTACCGCCCATTCCTTGCCTTTAAAAGCAGGATACGCGCCCGCGACGTATTGGACGTATGAGTCCGAGACCTCCTTGCGATTTGGCACTACGGGGACGACTTCCCAGTTATCGTGTGCCCACTCATCAAAAATCGCGTTCAGGGCGTTGTCGCTCACAGCGGCCTCCCATAGAACCGCACGAGCTCATACCGCTGTCGGCATAGTGGAAGGGGGGAAAGCAACGGCAAGACGAAGACGGGCATGTCTGGTTTTTTAAGTCAGTAGGAGTCGCCCAATGCGATACAAGGGCACTGAATCGGCCTTGTGGAAGACCTTCGCTGACAGTTCGTTGATAGTTGCTCACTTCCACAAGAAGGAAGCGGGTCAGCGAAACGTCAGCTCTGTTGTTTGGTCGTATATGGTCCAAATTGTGGCACTCTTACCAGATAACGGACTTCAGGGCTGTAAACCGTATTTGACAGTAGACGCCGCACTAGAGGGTACCAAGAATACAGTCGAAATATAAGAATATTGCCATTTCTACCGCCTCGAGGCTGAAGTTGCCGCAGCCACAACATATATGGTATTTTTTCAAATCAACCCGCACCTGGCAGACTTCCGCACACAACCAGTATCCCTGCTGGTTATTCGAAATCATAGCCGTGTCCAATGAGTCAAATTTTCGCGCAGCTTCCGAAACTAGACTTTATAGTACAGCGATCAACCTACCGAGCTAGCGCTGCGCGCCTGCGACTCGAAATCAGTCTGAGTAAATCTCGTACGTCGTCTCTTGACAGAGGCCTTGAGAATCAGCAGCTATTCGGCGGTTTCAAGCGACTATACCCTGACCAAATTTTTGCCATTTCCCAGAACCACATACTTGCATAGGGGGTCAGTGGCAAGTTTGGAATGACTCGATATTTATCGAGCCTGCTTTCGCATTCCCGCTTATGCTCTCGGCAAACCCGGACCCTCTGGCCGTGGGTATCGGTAACATCCAGCCCCCTGGAACGGGATCCGGGGTGAATGGAAAATATAAAGTGAGGGAGACGCAATCATCATGGCGAGATGGCCGAGCGGTCTAAGGCGTCAGACTAAGGATCTGATCCGAAAGGGCGTGGGTTCGAATCCCACTCTCGTCATTTTGAACCATCCGAGATTATTTTATTACTTTCCCCCGGTCTTCTGCCCTCCGATACAAATTTTTTGAGCCCACAATGAGGCAGAACGGAGAATGAGCAGATATCTCAGCCACCACGGATGTAGCCGGCCGCGGCGCACAGAAACCTCGCGTATGTGAAATCTGATTGAATCCTGTGTTCGATTCCAGCTCAGCGTAAAGTTGTCGAGACATGCACATTCGGATTGTATGAGGACTACCAAGCTCGAGGGCCATAAAACTGCCAGTGTACACTTGCTGACAGGCTATACCCAGCAGCGGCAGCATCATGGCTCTCGTATACTCAGCAGGGATATACACTGGCGGTGCCTACGAGCATTGATGGAAAATAACACATACGTAGTGCGATAGTACTGGTAAGAATGGGATAGGCACGTCCCACCTATTTGCTTCACCGCCGCGCAGTCCACTTGCTCGCGTATATCGACCCTCCAACGGCGTATCTTCAACACTGTGAATCGTACACTCCATCATTCCGATTGGGTTCCGGTGCTCAGGCGATACCTTACACGCGGAGGAACCGTCGCGATCGTTTATGGCGCGCTGCCTCCACCACCACGCACACATGGTCTGCTTAGACGCGATCCAGTAGACCATGGCATCCGTGCGCTGCTGCAAGTTCAGCGATTAAAGCTTGCATCTCTTCGAGCGCGATCTTCCTCAGAACCCCACTCTCGGGTTCCCACAGATCGAAAGAAGTCACAGCCCACTTCCATTTCTATGCAGAAATGGTTATTAGTCGCACTTGAAGCCAAGAGAGACAACATACCAGATACTTGATGAGTTCCTTGTCGGAGGGTCTGACTGATTTCCACTCGTCATCCCTGGCGCAGAAGATCCTGTAACTATCGAGAGCATACGGACCAGCACCTGGAAGGTGCGATATGGGAGTCGGAGGATAGCGAGTTGCTGGTAAGCTCCAGCTATCCTCCGAAGCACCCGAGCAGGCAGCGGTAGACGCACCCGCTACCTGTAAGGACTTCGGACATTTTGATCGTGGAGACGGTAGATACACCTTCGACCTGTGGAGAACGCCAGGAAGAGGCGGGTCCTTCAAGTACGCATTTGAAAGCTTAATTATTCGTTTCGCCCGCTGGCGCTGCAGTCCGAGCGGTGTGATGAGCTCTACAAGCTCGGACTCGTTCGCTTGCAACACATCGGTCAGCTGCGCAGCAAGGTAAAAGAATTGGTACAACCTGCAGAGAGTGCTTCCGGCGTAGGCCACTTCTTGAGAACCTCCCAGAAGATGGGAATTGCGTATTTACCGGCCGTCTTGTTGAGGAAGGTGGTTGCAATGAGCAACGTCCAAGGATCTCCACTCAAATGTTCTAACCGCGACGGATGAGTTTACTTCGCCATAACGTACTTTGGAAGGCCACGCACCCTGGATCAAGATAGGCTTAGACCGCCAGAGTTCGTCATATGTTTGGATGAAAAGGTCTCCGAAACACAAGAATGCAGGATCGCGAACCAGCTCAGTTTGACTGTCTCCAAGTTGTTGATCGCTGACTCCGACCAAATCACTGTCCACTTCCGCAAGCACGACATGGACTGTCCTCGCTTGGTTCCTGGGCTTGGTCGGCACATCGGAGCAGCTGAAGTAGCGTGAAGTTCTGGATGGCGAGAAATATGGCGCAGGTATTCTCGACTTCTTCGGGGTAGTAGGGGCAGACATTAAGGTCTACATGTGCTTTATGTAATTGCGATTGGCGTGGACTGCAGCGGCGGTACTTAGTCGCCCTCAGAAAGCCGGAGACTGGGAGAAGGCGAGCGCCACCGCCACGATTGTCTCTCGTTCATTAGCTCGTTTAGAGATTATTTATGGGAATGGTTAGGTTCGTGACCACCCTCTTTAGCAGATTGAGGCAGAATATGGCTTCTGCCTCAATGCGTTGTAGAGGGTGGTTACGAGCCTGACTAAGTCCCATTCTTCGACGAGGACGAATCCTCAGCCCGTCCGACGATGACAGCCCCCTCCTCCTCAACCGAAAGACTTATTTCCAAGCGCCTCCACATCTCTGGCGTCATCCCCGCCACAACCCCCGCCGACCTCAAGACGCGTCTCGAAGCGGTCGGCACCACCGCAAAGTTCATCGAGGGGTTCGACAAGCTCGACCGCGTCGGGCGGCCCAGGGGGTTCGGGCACGTCGACATCGTGGGGAGCGAGGACGGGCTAAGAAAGTGTGAGTTTTGTCTTGTCTTTGCTGGCGATGGGTATTTGAGATAGTAGCCTTCACTGACGGATCTCGATCTGCGAAGTTAGGTAAAACTGCGCTCAGCGGGGCGACGTGGAAGGGCGCAAAGCTGTGCATCGGGGAGGGCGAAGCCTGACTTTCGCGAGAGGTCTGTACAATGTCTTCTACTCTACCCTCTTACCCTCTCCACTCGTACACCATTCACCCGTTCCCCTACTCTGCTCCTACTAACCACTTGCCAGACTCGAACGCCAGCGCGCCCCGCCCCCACCCTCACGTCCCCCGAAACACCCGCGCGGCGTGCACCGCACGCACGCGCCCTCCATGGACCCAGTCTCCCCTGCAGAAGCGAAGAGCAGGAAAGTGTTCCGTGTGGCGGAGACGGGGCGCATGGTGACGCTCGTGCGGGTGCGGCCGGGGAAGGAGGGCAAGGGGAGGAAGGGGGACCCGCCGACGCAGGCCCGGAGGAGGACGATTGATCCGGTGTAGTATGGAAGTATGCATCTGAAGACGTCGTGGATCGGCGACGGGGTGTGCGGGGCGCCGCAGGGGGAGATGTGACCATGGAAATTGGAGAAGAGGGCGATGCGGGTGAGGAAGAGGTTAGCGAGAGCGAGGACACAAGTGAGGAAGGCGATGGAGAGGAGAGCGACAGCGAACGCGAATCCGTGGGTGAGCTACCGCGGGCTGTTGAGCCGGAGGTTGGGGAGAGCCGGAAGGATTTTGCCGGAAAGAAGAGTCCTGCTGCCCTGCTGACGCCCACTAACCCATGCTACAGTCGGGTTTCTCTCCTAGGCTACGATCTGGAGCTGGACGAGGACCTCGCCCTCCCCTCCAGCATCGACATCGTGCCCGCGGCTCCTTCCGCAACCCAACCCATCCCGGTAATCCTACCGTCGTCTCACTCAGCTAAAAAATCGCAGCCGGTCACCCTAGACCCCAAGGTCCGCTGTTCTTCCCGCGAACAAAGGGACGCCGGAAGGACGTGCTGGACATGTTTATGGAGCGGGGATGGGTATACGAGCCCCTAGAGGACGAGGAACTGAAGAGTCTGTAGGAGGAAAGTATGGGAGAGATGATGAGGGACTGGAAGAAGAAGCGACGGGAGGCGGGGAAGGTGACGAGGCCAGTGGGCGTGGGGATGGGGATTAGGTTCGTCGGTACGATGGGATGGATCGGGAGAAGGCACACTGGTGTTTGGGTACGTCTATGCTTCTGAAAGTTGTATCGGTATGTGCTTGTTGTCGGTTCAGTGATACTCGGTGTATGAATTGGACTCTCAGTGTGAGCTTAGGGCGCAGCCAGAGGACGGCTTTCGTCCGGTTTCGCATTGCAAAGACATTGCACGGCTTTCGTTTTGACAGTCCCATGACTTTGTACGCGCAAGGCCCTGGGTTTTTAGATCCATGTTGCCAATCAAGCCTTATATCCGTTGCGGTGTAGTCTGGGTTATTGATCTCTTTGTCGCGATGATACTGATGCTGCGCTCAAGGTATTGGAATTTGGGGCTGGCACCCGATATGAAGTGAAGCACGAAAGTGTCGAACTGTGCCAGCATGGTTATCTGCGTCTCAGGGGATTCCCACATGCGCTCGATTGCCTCGATGCTCTGTATGCAAACCGTGTTGCCACCTGATTCGGTGTTTGATGGACCGTACTATGAGTGTTTCATGATCTCATTGGAACACACGTCTTCGTCGTCGAAGGTTTGGTCGAATATAGAAGGAAAGGTCAAGTACAGTGAAGCGGTCGATAGCCAGCGGAAAGGGAGGGAAGGATACGCCCTCCATACCTAGGACCTGTTAGTCAAAACTTCGGAGTTCAGGAAAGGTATGGCGTCAACGGCATCAGGTGCATTTATCCATTGCTCGCTCACGTATGGGGTATGGCACTCAACGAACCAAATGCCCTTCCCACTGCAGCGGACTGCGATGACAGTATAAATAACCCAGATTTAGTAAGCTGCGCCAGAGATATTTCTCGCCTATCCTTAGCAAGTTAAGATCAGATACAAGCTAACAGTGATGCATGCTAGATACCGTATAGCGCTGGTTCGTCGTTATCCTTGTCATTACCATTCAACTGAAGATGGACTGGACAAATTGTCTTTCCTATGAGTGATTCACATCACGATGATAGGTTTGGTACGTGCCCATGAATTCCGGTGCCGCGTCACCGTAATACGTCCCTTCAGGCTCGTCACGACGGCGATTACTGAGGACCATGGTGATAGCTGACCTGAGACGGACCACGTATCCGTTACACCGTCGCAAACCTCTTGCTTCGGATGCATACCCGCATCATCATGCCCGAATCTATGGTAGCTGGGTATGTCGACTCGTGCAAGTCTGCTTAAAAAGCGAACTCACAATGCATTTTGAATGCGGTGCAACTCTGCACGTATCCGTCCCAGAAGAAGTGCGGTGCCTGTCCTCGTCGAAGTGCTCCTGAATGCTAGTAACTGTAGAAGCTCGGCCTGAGCTCCACATATCCCGTGATTTCATTCACGAAATCCGAGATCAAGCGCACAAATCAAGGCTTCGTGGAGAGATCGAAGAGCCGAGCAGCCCGAGCCCACAGTGCTGGTGACCACCACCATTAGTCTTACGACACTAACAGCACAAGCACCCGTGTTGCTCACATACCGTGCTTCCTTAAGGAGCATGCAGGAGAAATGTGTAGAGAGCGGTGTTGATGCGCGTTGTCAGATACGCAGCAACAGGTCAAGTTTCCACGGGTGCCTAACACGAAGCTAACTGATGCCGAACCAGCCACATATCCATGGAGGCTGCCTGGATAGCAAAACGCCCATCTGTCCGCGTGTGATACACAATACCGACTTCCGGGAATACCTCATCATATAGGGGTCACACCGTTTCTGTGCATTCGGGACCGCGCGTCGACGCAGCAAATGCATGTCCCCCCCTTCGAGATGTCCAGCTCCAGTTCACTCCCGGTTCGTCCTAAACATACAGCTGCAGGGCATAAGAGAAGGACCAATGTGATACCGTCGAAATTTTAGGCTGCAGAAGTCGCTTCCATGAGAGTCGTGGCGTTGAAGATCGCGACGCTCTCCGTCTGTGGCAGAATCACAACTGAAAGGTAAGCCTAAGCTATCATACCTGTGATGCCATTTTATTGCTGAAACCTCGTTCAGTTTAGTACTCGTTCATGGAGTGCAAACTCATCGAAGGTGTCCACGGGCCGTGCAAATTTATATACCTGATCTGAAGTGGCAAAGTGTTGCAGCATCGGCAGAGTGATTACTGCCAAGTTCGGCATTTCACGGCCTTGGTACCCGTTGATGCAGTATGTTCGGGTCTCAGCACTTAATTGACCTCGTCACGCAGACTCACGCCCACTCTCGTAATTTGATGCACCCCGGTTCATATTTCCGAACGTTGATATCCTCGGCACCCCTCCCAAATCGTTACGAAACGTGGCCATTCCGGGCTCAAGCATAAACACCGTCCATGCCATGGGAGCATATATAAGCACGCCAAATCGATAGTATTCCCCAGGTCTGGTACCCCATTCACAAGACTGCTTTGCCTTCTCACTCCTGCTCAAGCTACAGCCTTATTATCTCTATACTTCGTCCTCATATTCTGTTTATAATGAAGGTCTCCACCGTCGCTGCCTCCGCCGTCTTTTCTTTGGCCCCCTTTGCATATGCTGCGCCTCACATGAAACGTGCCCCAGTCTGCGACCTCTCGGGTAAGCCTGCTTTCTCTTCATGTTGGTATATCCCGTCTCTTACAATAAATGGATAACGCAGTCCTATCTGGTCTGACACTGACCGCCGCTGGAGACCCTGACAGTAGAATCCGCTGGAACGTATTCCAGGTCCCCAGGGCCGGTATTGAGCACGGGACACTAGCTTGGGTGAAAGACTTTCTTTCTTCCGTGATCGTCCAGTCATCCGTGCTCATAAACACGATTGTCAGTTCTTTGAGAGTGATCCCGACGACTTTTCGAAGTTCCAGGCAATTAGCTCGACCAACGGACCAAACATCTTTACTTTCCAGAACAACGCGGTTAACCAGCAAGTACTTGCAACGGACAGCGGTTTTCAAGGCAGTAGTTCTGGAGGAACCGAGGTAAGCTAGACTGTTTCATCAGATATGCCGCCACCCGCTGAGCTGAGTACCGCTGACCAAGTTCATTGTGACCTGCAATGACGAGTGCAACACGGGCGTGCCGGACCACGAGCTCGCTGCAGCTGGCTGCACCATGGAGATCACCGATGGAAGCGGCAAAGGCACTGGAAAGTGTGTCTCCTGGCCTACAGGTAGCACTGTGCCTGTAGAGATAGCGGATTGCGATGGCAGCACCAGTCAGGTCAGTGGGTCTTACACACTTGTTCAGAGGGCATCTGAAGTCACTGAACATGCATCCATAATAGCAAATGGGAATCTTCGTTGCATTGTAGGAGGAGTGAAGAAGCACTGAGATACGCTGGCGTACATACAGTTTCGCTCCTTGACCGATGAGTCATAAGGCGATGTAGTTCTTTGTTCAAGGAATGGAGGCGTTAATGCATTCATATTCGTATCATGGCATAGCACGTGTATTCTCCGGCTTGGGATACCTATGCGGAGTCCAGAAAGATTATCTTGCCTCACTGTCATCTGGTAGACCGTGATAATCCGTGCGCTATCACAGTTGCAGCGATTGCCCAATCCTCACAGGGCGTTGCGGCCACAAACCCACGCGCAATCATTCTCTAGTCATGCCCTGAGTCAAGGAAGCCACCATACCCGGATCCTTGCGAGTCCCTTCTTCGGAGGGTCTGTCTGATTTCCATCCATCATAGCCGGCGCCAGAGTCTGTAACTATCAAGAGTGTGGTGAGATACGGGGGATAGTGGACTGCAGGCAAGCTCCAGCTATCTTAGAGGGCACCAGATGCACTCTCTACCTGTAAGGAACTCTTGCATCTTGGTCGCGGAGACGCTGCAGACGCCTTGGAGCTGTAAAGAACAGCAGAGAGGCAGAGGACATCCTCTAAGCATAGGTCTCAAACTTCATCATGTGTTCGGCGCGCACCGCTGCAGTCAAGGCCGAGCGATGGGTTTTACAAGCTTAAACTCGGGTAGCTCATTGGCAGGAAGGTCAAAGAAATAGCACAACCTGCAAAGTGGGCGTCGCCCGCTTCTTGAGAACCTTCAAGGTGGGGTTCGCGTGCTACCGGACGTCTCATTCAGCTGCGTACATAGGAACTGTACATCCTTTGGAGGTACCGATATATACACGGGTGCGAGCACAGATGTACCAGCATGCCGCTTCCGTCTGTCGAAAGCTCAACGTCCGTAACGGTGTGCACTCAGGTACACACAGCGGCGGCACCAGTTATATATTCATCGCTTGTATACCTATCAACGATCCGATTTGCCCTCTACCCGAGATGTAAGATGTCAAGGACAAGAGAGTGGAACAACATCGCACGTTCCCATTCACCTATTTGGCCTCTGCGCATTCCGGCTGACGTGAACTTCTCGCGCAAGCATCTGGACTCGGACGGGTAAAACGAAAGAGGACTTACCTCGCTAGGGTCCCTGCACGCTCATGTGGCATCTTACGCGGGTGACCCGATGGTGAGCACGACCCGATATTGGTTATTCACTTCACTGAGCCAATGCTTCGAGAAATATCGGATGCGACTTCCATGGAACTTTGAGGATCCCGCGTAGCCCAGCAGGACGGCGTTTCTGGACATACGATCGATTGAGTAAAATAGACAGAAATACAGAACATTGGTCCCGCATATTACTGACACGTCTTCAGTCAGGGAGCTATGTGCTCCGTGCCACGACGCCGGCGTCATCTAATTACCTTCACGCCTAATAATCTCTGGAAGTCCGATATACGAGCGTCCGATGACTCGCATTACTCGGTGCTCGACCTGCCCGGGGCTTTTGCCACTCGTATGCATGGGCAGAGTAGGACCGAGCGAATGCCTACTGCACGCGCGTGGTCGGGACCTCCGCATAATCACCGTACAGGATGAGCAGCGACTCTGGCGGTGTTTCCCGCTCGGCTCCCCGCTGTTGCCGTGGACGGTGAACTTGGAGGCGCAAGCGTTTGCGTCGAAGCAAACTACTCTGCCTGCAATCGCAGTCTAGCGCCGCGGAGGGCTTGATTGTCGGTGGATCTACCAGGAGCTCAGCGTCATTGAACGCCCAGCGAGGTTGCCCTGATACCGCAGAGCGATGGGTATACTTGTGACATCGACTTAACGGCGCCGGTCTAGATCAAATAAAGCATCCAAGGTGTCGGCGAAGGGTACAGATGGCTTACATGGTAAGGGCACTACGAGTCTGACAGCGTGTCTGACGCTGGAAGCAAGAATAGATCGGTCACATCGCGTTCGGTCCTGGAAGCCGCAAGTTCATGGTCCAATCGATGCATTGGCAGCATTGCAGAATCTGCCATTCTCCGAGTTGGTTGACACCTTCGACGCTGTGGCGTGGTGCGGCACGCTCCGCGAGCGCTGGCTTTCTTGTTGCAAGATTTCGCATCAAATCAGAGTGGATACTGAAGAGATGGAATTTCAGCAGCGCCTCGACATGCTGCGTGGTTTCCGAGCCGTTTGCGCGTCCTGGAACATCGCCTTGTCTGTCTCAGCACGATCGTTATTGCTATGTATTCGCAAGCCACTGTGGCAATAAACAAAGTTCAGTGCCAGGCACGGATGAGGTCGTCGTTGATGTGGCCAATCTGATCGCGGCACCGAGACCGAGGCACAGAGCCACAGCTGCACAGCCACCCCGACAGACTTTTCGCTCGTAGTACGGCTCGCGTGTATACGAAGATGCTGGGAGCTTTGAAGACGGACTACTCGTCGTTATCTGTTTGTAACACAGCAGTCTTGAAACCACAGAACATACATCGACGATTATGTACCTGCTTTTGCGCCCACTCGCAGGGCTCCCTCCCATATCTTGCCTAAATGACTTGCAAGGGAACTTCTATCTTTCGTGATGGCTCATCACATTGATGCCGCGGGGACGGATACTGGAATCAAATCGCTTGCTAAGTATAACATACGTAGTCTACATGTGATCCCTCAAGGGCTCCAATATATCTGCGTAACCGAGCCCCGCGCGCCTGCTCTGCGGCTTTCCTCGGTCCTCCACCATGGCATCGACGTCCCTGCTCAAGCCCGTCGTGCTCGCCGCACAGACGTACCACCAAGCCAGGACATCGTGCGTGTTTGCCTGATCATCACGTTCGACGAGCGTGATCCGAATAATCACTTCCCTTCTGCAGGCAGGTCAACAGATATGCGGCGTATTCCAGGATGGGTGAGTGTTTGGATCACTTGGCACGTCCGCGGATTGACTGACTGTGGGTGCGCCGGGTGCTGTACTCAGCCCTCATGTTTTATGATATGATACTGAACATGGGGAGGGAGAAACGCCTGGTTTGGGATACGAAATTCCGAGCGTCGAGCGTCGTGTATTATACGGTTCGATACCCCCTCATTGCCTTTCAAGTTTTCCAAGTTAGCTGGACGCCGACCACACCACAGGTGCGTTTCGCGCTGTCGATTCCAGGTTATCGTGATCGTACTAAAAACGGACTGCAGTACGTTTACTCATGAGCTGGATGGAACTATTGACTCAGTTTCGTCAGTTGTGATGCCATCGACAAAGCGACATGGGCCATCGCCCTCGTACCCACACGTACGGCAATCTGCAGTGAGTTGCATCCGTTTGATGCGGGCGAAAGTCAGCTAAGTGGAGTATCCAGTTTCCTTCATTCTTCGAGTCTACGCCGTGACGGGCGGAGGATACTTCTTCTCTGGGATCCTATCACTCGTCGGTCTTTTGATAGTAGGGCTCGATATTGTATGTCTCCATCTGATAGTGATACATCCCGGGTGCGATTCTCATGCATCGTCGTATCTATAGTGGCAAGACACGACCGCTTCCTGTATGGGAGCCCAAGATAAACTGTAAGGCTCCCTATATATCTACCGGGGATGCCACGAAAACTCACCGCCTATTCATCGTCGTCGTTTTCCCTAAAATAGATGTGAGTACCATCTCTGCCATCTTATCCTGTCAAGGAAGATTAATCGAATTTCCTCGTCCAGCGACTGTATTAACCTTCATATCCCTCATCATATTCGATGTCATCACCACGGGCGTGATCTGCTGGCGATTGCTCAAGGTAATCCGAGAAGGTGGCGGATACAGCAAGGTCGGAAGCCATGGAATGGCGGGTCTCGTCCTGCGTTCGGGTCAGTTGCTCCCACCCATTTCGATCGTGGATTGGCACTGATGTGATTCTAGGTGTTTTGTATTTTATGTATGTCGCGTTATTGGTGAACCCGTAGGCGTACGCACTAACACTCGGGTTCAGGGTCATGACAGTTATTCAGGCCGCATCGGTCGCTCTTTACTTCGTGCGTCTGTCTTTATCGGTCTGGTCCTGGTTGTTGCTTATGGTATTTGGTCTGTTCCATAGGCCCCACAGGTACGTGGCTAACCAAATGCACGGCCTACGTCATGGCCCAAGTCTCACATTCCTACAGGGAACATTCAGTACAGTTCTGAACAACTACACCCTCCTCATCTCCTCCATCCTCACCGCCCGCTTCCTCCTCGACCTACGCTCGGTGGCCGAAGGCGAGACCGAGCCGTCCGTACCGACGAAGAACCAGGACCTCAAGTCCATGGCTTTTGCCCCGCGCGCGCACCATCCGTCCGACAGCGGGTTCGCGTCCTCGGGCAACCAGAACGCGTGGGGCACGACGACCCTCATGCGTGACTTTGACGACCACATCACGACTTTCTCGTTCGCCGCCCCGGAGGATGAAGACGACTGGCCGTCAGAGACGCTGAGACGCGGCGGGGACGTGCAGCTCGAGTCGCATGCGTGGCTGATGGAGGATTTGGCGGATCGGGCCCGCAGGGCGGAGGAGCAGCTCGCACAGTCGGAACTGGACTCCTTGAATGTTAGTTCCGTGGAGCTCAGGTCACGGTGATACCCTGTTCGTTCCCTTGACTCGGAATCTTTTGTATCACCATTTGTGCTGTGTATTTATTGTATATTTGCTGCTCACTGGATATAGATGACGCTCGCGTTTCATCGCGACCAGATCTCTTTCCTAGCCCTTTCCAGACGGTTGTGGCGTGAACACTAACTTTACAAGAATCGTACTGGCACTTCGACGCGTCTCGTACCAAGCCACCATCTGTCTGCTCGTGCTCATTTACGTCTTTGTCGAGCACGTTTCGCCCGACATCTGGCATCACCATTGATGATACCTGTATAAGATATCTCGGATCTCACTAAATTATCGGCCCTGAGGCAACGTGTATACATAAATTCAACCGTTCCTCCCCGAGTCGCCCGCGCCCACTCTCTATTTCACCGAAGTCCCTGCCCGCAGCTCAGCCTCGCAGACTGGATGGACTGCAATAGTAATGGCGGCTTAGCATCGACGGTCTATAGACGCTCGAATGGGACGTTCCACGCTGACAGTGAGTCCATTTGATTCGCATCCCCTCTGTAATTCGTGATAGACCGCCCCGCCCCGTCCCATTCAGAGCCTTCGACTACGCCCCGCCGCCACCCCGAACTATGGTTCTCTGATGGATCTGTAGTCCTGCAGGCGGAGGACACGCTCTTCCGCGTGCACATGTCCGTCCTCTCCCTTCACTCCAACTTCTTCCGCGACATGTTCTCCCTCCCGGTTCCGGGTTCATGCGACCCTTCGTGTTCACGCCAGGCGGGGGTGAACACGAACGAGGAGGTCGACGGGTGCCCGCTCGTCGTCTTGCACGATAGCGCCGAGGACCTCTCGAACCTGCTCAAGGCTTTGTACTATGCTGGACCGTACGTACGTCCGAGCCCGACTTCGTTTAATCCGGTCGCACTGACGCGGGAGTATGTAGAGAGTTTAAAGATAATGATCAACAGGACTTCCAGGTCGTCTCGGGGATACTCCGACTCTCCTCAAAGTATCTGATAGACGCATTGCGCGAGAAGGCGCTTGCTCACTTGAGCAAGGCGTGGCCGACTACCCTCGAGGGTTGGGACGCGAGGGAGGACCGGGCACGCTCGTACGAGTCCGATGCAGGACCGCCCACAACATACTTATACCCATCTCCAATCGTAAGTTCCCCCATCGTTTCCCGGGCACCTATACCGACGTTACCCAGGCTGTCATCAATCTCGCCCGAGAAGTCAACGCCCCCTCCCTCCTCCCCTCCGCCTTCTACGACCTCTCCCGCTACTCATACGCCAAGATTTTCGAGGCATCCGACGACGAACTGCTGCACCGCACACGCTCGCCCCCGCTCTCGCTCCCCGACCTCCAGAAGCTCACACTCGGCAAGGAAGCATCCCAACACGCCGTCTCCGCCCTCATCCAGTCGCTCGGCACCTCGCCGAACAACAACAGCAACTACTACCACCAGCACGCGTCAAGCCCGTCCTCGCCGCCGTCGTTCGGGCACCGGCGCAAGCAGTCCGCGGGCTCGCGGATGTGCGTGAGCGCAGCAGCGTGCCGCAAGGACTTCGGCGAGCTCGTCGACCTCGCGACGCAGCATTACTTGATGGACCGCGAACGGGGGTACTCGGACCCGCTGTATGTCGCCGAGGAGCTCGGCCAGCTGAAGAGCGTCGAGTTCTCGGAGTGCGAGGCGTGCGCACGTAGTCTGGAGACGTGGGCGACGAGGGAGCGCGAGCGTATCTGGAACCTGATTCCGTTATGGTTCAGGCTCGAACGGTGAGCGATGTCAGGAAGAGCCTAAACGTTAACGACAACCTACTTGATGACCACGTATTCGTAGAGATAACCTGCTGTATTTATGACTCACTGCTGTATCTAAAGTCGTCTAATCACGAAACTCGTCTCATATCTACTCAGATAGCAGTGGGCGGCACAGCAGTGACATCGCTGTCAATCTCCCCTATGGTATCCGCCTCCCGCTTCATCCTCTCTGCCAAACGATCCAACAGCCCCTTTAGCTCCTCCCCCTCTTCAATGAGCTGCTCCACCGTCCTCGGCGCTTCTTCCCTCGGTTTACTCATATCCCGCTTCTCCGCTGTTGCCGCCATGCTCTCGCTCACCAGCCTCCTCCACGTCTTCCCCTCCTTCTCGAGTAGGCTCGTCAGCTCGTCCTTCACCCTCCGCGCAGCGCCCGCGCCGTCGTAGCCAAAGTGCGTGTACATTTGCACATATGATGCTCCCGCTCGCGCGTATTCGAGTGCGTCGGCGCCCGAGGAGACGCCGCCGCACCCGATGATAGGCGTGTTTGCCGGGAGATGAGCGCGGAGCGTGCGCAGGCAGCGGAGTGTGAGGGGCTTCAGTGGGGGACCTGAGAGGCCGCCGGTTTCGGACTTGTTAGCTACGAGCAGAGATATAAAAGCAATCGATAATCAGTCATATTTACACAGGAAATGAGCTGCGCAGCGGTGCTTACGATCCGCAAGGGTGGGAGGGCGCTGAACTGTCGTGTTGCTGACGATGACGCCGTCGATGCCCGCTGCTTTGACGACCTCGGCGATGTCGATTATTTCGCCCTCGGAGAGGTCCGGTGCGATTTTGAGGACGATTTTCGGCTTCCGCGAAGCGGAGGTGGATGAGGTACTAGGGAAGAGGGGCGCGTCTCGGGCTTCGGAGACTGTTTTGAGGAGATTGCTGAGGTGTTCGCGGCCTTGGAGGCCACTGAAAAGTATGTGTATTCGCATAAGTGAATCGATATAGTGATAGTAGAGCGGAGAGGACGTACCGCAGGCCGGGAGTATTCGGGCTCGATACGTTAACCACCAGGACATCTGCATACGGCGCGAAAACCCTCACTCCCCTTACGAAATCGTCCGCGCTTGCGGGATCGGACTCCTTGTTCTTTCCTAAGTTGACTGCGAGCAATGCGTCCGGGCGCAGACTCGCCGGCTGGTCCGTCTGTGACTCGAGCCCTAAAGCGGAGGATAGGCGGGCCCGCAGGCGAGCTAGCACGTATTCGTGCCCCTTCGACGGGAAGCCGTATCGGTTTATCATAGCGGAGTCTGTGGGTAGGTGGAAGACGCGTGGACGGGGATTTCCTGGCTGTGCGAACGGGACAGACGGTATAGGTAGGTAGGGGAGGTGGAATGATAGAGCGGCAAGACGTACCTGCGGCTTTGGAGTCACGCTGCCAATCTCGACCCAGCTGAATCCGAGGTCAAAGAGATCTGGCGGTCGCGTATACGTGTGAGGGCAGACTTTTCTCGAGAGCGAGTTGGTACGTACCGTCGATGGCATCCCCGTCTTTATCGAAGCCCGCTGCGATGCCTATTGGGTTGGATAATTCCCTTCCCCATATCTTTCATACGCATCGAAAATTCTTCTTGAGAATCATAGCACACAGGCGTTCATGGATTGATGTACTCACCTCCGCCCTCAGCCTCTCATCATCGGGCACGACGTCCTTTGGTCCCAAACCGCTTCGCAGCACCTGTACCGCAACCTTATGTCCTGTCTCCGGATCCACGGTATACCGGAGCAGCGGAGTCAAGACATATCTATGCAAAGCCGATCTACTGTCGAAGTAGTATACAGCGAATAGCCCGGTGGACACCGCGAAGACGGTTGCGTATAGACCGGTTCGGAGCGGGTTTGACTGGGAGGCGGTTGTCTGGACGCTGCGGACTGAAGGACAGGAGTTCAAGTGAAGACGGTTTGGTCGCAGCCGTGCGAGAGCAGAAGGACGCAAGGACGAGGCCATCATCGTAGCATACCTCGTGTTGGCTATGTAGTTGAGTACACGATCCAAGAGGAACTTGACGCACTCAGTTCGCCATCGTCATCCTGCTTACGGCAGGTTGGCTCGATATTCACAAACCGGCCAAGTCCAGTGACCTCAACGTATATACAACAAGTACTACTCACTGTGCGGCACAGTTAGATAGTCAGACCGCGGATAGCACCAGGCTCCTAAACCATCCGTCCTTAGCGTTCTCGCTCCTCCTTTACTAGGGCGCACGTGCAGTGTTATATAATACAAATCTATTTTTAATTTATTACCGGATACAGAACGAACAAGAGGAGGAGAACGCTATAGGACGGCTGGCACAAATGTCGTCGCCGAGATCCCCGAGGCTGACTAAGCGGACGGTGGCTGAAGCCTTTTACCAGCGGTCGGCGGGGCTTCACGCAACCATTTACAACTTATTACCTTGGGATTTACCGCTCGGTGTACTTTATAGTAATGTAAAAATGTCCTAACTGAATGGTATACTCATGCAATGGTTATCAGTAGTACCGAAGGCTGAATATCCGGCTGAAGAGGCATAATGGCTATAGACAAGCCCCTCTGAGTGTCAGAAGTATACCAAAGGTATTTACATTGGTCTTGAACTATTTTAGCACCCGTTTATATGTGTTCTGCGTGAGCTCAACGAGGTAGGTGTCGAGACGCTCTCTACATCGCCCGCCAACCGCTGCTGAGAGGCTTCAGCCACCGTCCGCTTAGTCAGCCTCGGGGATCTCGGCGATGACATTTGTGCCAGCCGTCCTATAGCGTTCTCCTCCTCTTGTTCGTTCTGTATCCGGTAATAAATTAAAAATAGATTTGTATTATATAACACTGCACATGCGCCCTAGTAAAGGAGGAGCGAGAACACCAAGGACGGATGGTTTAGGAGCCTGGGATAGCACTGACTAGGCTAGGTCACTTTCCCGATGCGCGGCAGTGAAGTCTCCCCTTGCGCCGTTTTAGGCAACGATGTCTACTCGATTTGGTACTGGTGGCACCGTCAGGACGGTACTCCACGTGCGTACCGTGTGCGCCGCTGCACGCTCTGTAGTGCTCTCTGCATAATTGAAAGCTTTTGAGGAGGGCGCCTTCAATACTCGTTGCTTAAGAGCCTATATACTGTCATCCAATGCTAATTTGGGCGGCTGTAAAGGATTACAACACCTAAAGCTGTTTTGGGCCTCGGATAAGCTAAGAACAGGCTGCTAACTCTATGTAGAGAGGTTCTGGTTTGAGAAGAAATTCACTCCGCTGTACGGGGAACCATGCAGTCCAATATAGATGCTACTTGGGCTCTTTTCTCTGCTCAAATCAGCCGGGAGAGGTCGAGGATTGCACTGTGTAGTTGC